CACGAAGACCATTTGAGACAAGTCTTCGCACGCCTGCGTGCGTGGGGCTTGACGTTGTCCGCCGAGAAGTGCGAGTTCGGTTGCCCTTCTGTGCCCTATTTAGGACACATTTTTGACGGGAACGGTATGAGACCAGATCCGACTAAGGTAGAGGCGATCTTGAGATGGCCTCGCCCTGGTAATGTTGCAGAAATAAGGTCCTTTTTGGGTCTCGCCGGCTACTACCGTAACTTCGTCCCTAACTTCTCGGACGTGGCACGACCAATTCAACGGCTGGTGTCGGAGGTCGGAAGTGAAACTTTGGCTTTGGATACCTACTGGGGACAAGAGCAAGAGGAGTCCTTCCGGGCCCTCAAGCTTCGTCTCGCAGCCCTGCCCTTCCTCGCTTACCCCGATTTTGGTATTCCCTTCGAGCTCTATACTGACGCAAGCGACTATGCCATTGGAGCTGTCCTTATGCAAGAAGGAAGGCCCTTAGGATTTTTCAGCAGGACGTTAACGGGCTCCCAGCTCAATTGGCATACCTATGAGAAGGAGGCGTACGGTATCCTACAAGCCCTGATTTACTTCCAACACTACCATATCGGTTACCCTTTGACGGTTACGGTATATACAGATCATGAGCCCCTGACTTGGCTAGCTAAGGCCGGCTCAAAGAAGCTGGAGCGATGGCTTTTGGCCATGCAGGCGTATTCCTTCATAGTGAAATATGTACCAGGTAAGAAAAATGTGTGTGCTGATGCTCTGTCCAGGATACGCCAGCTCGACGACGATACCCTACCGATGGAACCGATGGAGTCAGAGCCTATCATGGCGAAGCCAGCCAAGGACGTTGACACTACCCGTGCCCTTGTATCTGTTGTAGCCGCTCGTCGACAATTAGCCGCTTGTATAACAGCATTGTCGGCACGGTGGTCGATCGACGATATAAGGCGAGAGCAGGATAGTGACGATGTCACAAGGAAGGTAAAGGAACGTCTTTCGGACCCGTTGCCTTTACGTAGGACCGAGTTGACCGACCTCGCCTTCCGCCCTTACAAGCAGCTGTGGGATCAACTGGATGTTCTAGATGGCCTACTGATACGCCGTCGCAAGTTCGATAACGAACGAGAACCCCGGTTCCTACCAGTGATACCACCTGCCTTGAGATCTGATGTTGTGGATGCCTACCACAAGGAAGACGGTCACTTCGCCGTACGCAAGACTCTCGACAAGCTCAAGTTGCATGCCTATTGGCCCGGGATGGGCACAGACCTCCTCAACCACGAGAAGACATGCCCTAGATGTACTCAGGTCAAGGCAACGGTACCTCGAGCCCCCTTAGGATTTATGCCTATCGGCAAACCCTGGGACTTAATTGCTATCGACCACTTGAAGGTGCCCCCCAATGACGATAATATTCGTTCACTATTGGTTGTCCAAGATTATTTCACACGGTGGGCTACGGCCATACCGGTGAAGTCCGAGGATACCACAGAAGTGATTAGAGCCCTGTTAGGTCTTTTTAGCATCTTCGGGCCCCCTGGTCGTGTGCATAGTGACCAAGGCCCTGCGTTTGAGTCGAATGCCCTTAGGATTGTCCTTGAGCGTTTAGGAGTTGAGAAAAGCCATACCACACCGTATCACCCCTCGGGTGACGGCTTGGTTGAGCGCTTTAACCGATCACTGATTGGCCTCCTCCGTACTCATGTGACCGACTCTCACCAATGGCCTATGTACCTTCCTTCTTTATTGTGGCACTACAACAGTTCTGTTCACTCAGCGACTAGGTTCGCCCCGTTCACATTAATGTTCGGTCGTGAACCGAAGTCTGTCTTTTTGCCATCGTTGCAGGCCCTTGACCAGTTCTCTTTCGACCCATTCGGGTATAACGAGTACGTCAAGGCCCTCTCGATCCACCTCGAGGATCTTGTTGACCTCACCCATGCCTCCGCCTCTGCTGCAGCCCAAGCTTACTACGACAAGAAGGCCACGGCTCGTCAATTCTATGTTGGACAACGTGTACTGGTACGACGTCTTGGCCCTCAAACCGGAAATAAGCTTGAACCTAAGTGGAGCCCCGGTTGGTTTGTGGTCGGTCAGATGCCTGGCCAAGAGAACAAGGTTCTCAAGCTCAAGCACCAAGAGACGCTTCAAGTTCGTGTTCTGTCAGCTGATTACGTCGCTATCGACCCTCTTCAGCCAGACGCCGTTCCTGACGCCCTTGGTATTATGCGACAAGATCCACTACTACGTGCTGGATCGCCCTTACCCGACCCCGATCTCAACAACGCCCCCGGTCCTGAACCCCCTGTACGACCCGATGTCATTACAGACAATGTGAGTCCAGGAGATGGTTACCCTATGGACCCCCTGGCCGGCCCTGAGATACCCCCTGACCCCGATGCTTTATTATGGATTGAAGTCGACTTCCCACAACCACAACCACGAAACTCAAGACAAGAACCCCTGTCGGAAACGATAAGTACGGCGACCCCGGATGATGTCCCTACTGGGCCCAGTGGTGAACCTCATCCACCAGAAGAGGGAAGTGCAGGCGATCTCGACGGACGCGTTGAGACCTCGCCAGCCCCAACCCCTTCTAGTCCTTCATGCCTACGAACCGACGACAACACCGACAACAGCGAGTTTCAATCGGTACCTCCTCCAGGTTCCTCGTCAGCTGTCCCAACGCTCCCTACGCCACCACCCCATGAAGAAACGGCTGAGACTTCGGAAACGGCCGAAGTTCCTGAAACGGCCGTCCCTTCCGAAACGGCTGGTCGACCCCTAGGACGTGGACACCGTACGAGAAACCCAAGAGTGAGGTTTGACCCCCAAACTTATGTACCATTAGGGAAACGTCAGTAGATTTTCCCTTTTGTGCGCACTGTATATTTGCACACGTGTATTGTCTACTTTTCACGTCACGTTAAGGCCGTACGATCGTCCCTTTTGACCCTTATCTCTACAATCGTTATCTTTTTCGCATGTTTATTCTTACTCCTCTTACAGCAACTGTTTCCTGATGGATCCCTGGTCCTACTACGACTTGGAGGTGATTAAGGCTCTCAACCTACCTCCGGAAGCTAATTTAGCTACTATTTTTGGCGTTGTGGCTCAAGTCGACGACAACGACTGGCCCTTGGAAGAGAGGCTACGTCGCTTTCACCGCAAGTACAGGTTAGGCCCTATCAAGAACTCTCTACCCAGGCCCTTGTTGCTCGACCCTGAGGAGTACAACAATAAAACCACGGCTCACGACCGCCACAACGTCGCCCTTAGTGTTCATGTGGGACTGTCCGCTTTTGCAAACCCTGCACTGCGTGACAAGCCCTCGACTACAGCCCAGCTCCGTAGATCCCGAGCTGCCTTTGGCAGTCAGTGGCCTACGTTGCCCGACGATTCATTTTGGGGTCTCAAACCCATCTATATGGTCGAGAGTGTGCCTTTCGTCCTAGCAGTTCACGGCAACCAAGCGGTCCTCAACTGTCCACCCCGCTCCGTATGGTTCCCTGACGCCTGCGATCTAGACACTTATTCGACCCAAGTTCTACCCTCTACCTTATGGAATTGTCTCGCTACTGCCCTGGTCTTCCCTGAGGAGAACGCCTTCTACTGCTGTGCTTGTGTCGCGCTCAAGAGTCTGGGTCGTACCACAGCGCAGAAGCGTGACAGAAAGGACATAAACGATGCCTTGAAGGCCGCCCTTGAAGTTGGTATTTTCGACTCTGACACGATACCTGCGAACGCCCTATACGACGCGGCTGACTTCGATTACGACCGTCTGCTGAGGGAATTCGCGTCTCATGTCAAAGGAGGCGGGAATCACCACGGTCAAGCCTTCGATATGCCTGGTCCTTACGCCTTTCCGTTGCTAATGTGGGATGATGTCTTTCTCGCTTACAAGGATGTTGGTAATCGGAATTTACGAGTAAGTCATCTGTTAGACCCGTTGATAGACATCCTCACTCCGCCTAGTGTGATGAACATTTTGATATCACTACGTGCGTGGATTCGACTGCTCGTTGCCAAGTATGGGAATGATAGCGTCGGTGCCCTAGTGGTCCCGGGTTCACAACGCTTGATCGTTTATGCGATGCTGGCAAATGATTCTTACCCTAGTGCGAGTGGAGCGGATCGTCCCTTCGTGTTGTTTCGGAACAGATGTCCCTTTAATTCTGCACTTGACGAAGCTCTGTTACAGCGAGAAGAGGCCCTGCGGGTCGATCCCAAGGGTGCCAATGACATCCCCAACAACGGCTCCCGTCCGCCTCGTCCGTCGTATCCTCCGCCTATCATTACTCAACCTCCCCGACCACCGACTAGACCACAAGCCGTTAGCGGTTCGTCCTCATCATATGCCCCGACTTCGGCGCCACCGCGTAGTATGCGTGATCAAGCTGTGATGACTGACGCCATGGTTTCGGCACATGCTGACGACTCGACTGCCCTTACTGCTATCGAGACTACCAACAACTACTACGATAACGACGCTGATGATGCTTCAATTGACACCGACAACTCCTATGGTCCCGGTCAACCAGAAGACGACGAGTCCTTACAAGAATATTTACACGGCCCTCGTCCAGCTTTCGACTACTTTGGATTCTCTGTCGAAGCCCTTTTTCTCACATTAGACGGAAGCACCGACTCCTTTGAGTTCCACCATCACCACGACCCTTACCGCGTGTTCGAGCCTCGCCCGTGTCCATTGGTTAGTATTATTCCCCACGCCGATGTCGACATGCATGTCTCTTACCCCCACAAGGTGCGTGATGCTACCGGTGCTCTCAAAGACCTCGGTTGGATCGACGACTTCGACTTGGACCCAAACACTGACCCTCGTCCTTGGCAATGGAGAAATGAACTCGATCTCCTGCATTCTGTTGACGTCTGTTGTCACCTTGACGTCGACGAGGTTAGAGTGATCGCTCACCCTACCTTATGCGGTTTTGTGCCCTTCCGACGAGATCTGGCTGGTTGTGTCGTCTTTGGTTCTGGACTCTTCTCGAGTGCCTCTACGGGTACTTGGTGGGTTCCTAATGCCCTTGCTGTTTATCGTTGGCTTAGGACTGTCCAGGTTGGTGCCCTTGCTATAGCGGTGCACACAGAGCACCGCCGGGCCCTTGCCCAGCCCCGTAATGATTTTAATATTATCTTTTGTTGCCGCATGCACCTAGAACGTGCTTTGCCTGTCCTGAGAAAACATGCTGTTCTGAGGCCCTTGCGAGAAGGAGGTGAACTATTTTTTGGTAGAAGCCTAGCCGCTTTTACTAGTCATGTTATCGAGTCCCCTGATCAAGGTGTTGGTGTCCTTAGAAGGCCTTCATCTATTACTGCGGCTGAAGCTGTTCTATTGAGGTACACGATGATGCTGAGTCGTGGCACTGTTACTCGATGTCACGGTACATTCCCTATGCCCTTGGGATGGAGTTTCGATCGCTCCCTGATTAAGCCCTTCGAGATTCATGACGACGAATGGTTTGACCAATACCCTACTCGAGCATGCTACGACAATGCCCTTGGCAGCTCCTTTCGTGTTGCTCATGATCGGAACCTACGCCTCTACGAAGGTAATCGTAACCCACTCGAACTAGCTCGAGAGTATAAGCCCTTACGGTGGAATGGTCGGTCGGCCGGTTGGTTAGTTGGTTGGCTTGGTTCGCGGATGGAGATGATAGTCTTGCTGGATTGGTTGAGTCTCCTTTTATTGCTGCCCTTTTATCTGCTCTGACTATTGACTGCTATAATTATCTCTTATCCTCTTAGCGTGATCCAGACTAAGAGGGGGGGAGTGTAGGGATCGCGCCCTACGCGCTCGCCCTTGTAATCGTTATCGTCTGATCACTTATATTCGCTCGCCATCGATCGCGCTATGCACGTATGCGCACTGTGTGATCATGAACTTAGGATAAGTAGAGTTACAACTCCTTTTTGATCCTTCTCACTCGGCTGCCCTTCCACGAAGGTCTGCCCTTGTTGTGAAGTTCGACTACGTTATCCACTGAAGTCTGGCTACTAGTTGTGTTGCCCAGTAACAGGCACAACATTGTTAGCATACGCGTCGCTTCGCCTAGTGTGCGTCGCTTCGCGTATCTTCTCGGTTGGAATACCTTGCTTGCGACGACTCCGGCTACGGGTTGTGCGCCGTTGGGCTGGTCTCAGCCTTATCAATGGTCGTCTTGTCCCTCTGCAGTTAGTAAACTCCTCAAAGAGGCGAGAAAGGAGGCAAGGGAAGAGATTTCGGCGACAAAATTTGGCACCTTTGTCGGCTCGCCCCCTACTGACTCCTCTGGTCTACCTGGGTGCGGAGGTACAAGTGGTAGTACTATCTCTACTGAGAACACGCACACCACCGCGCGTGGTCATCTCGCAGCCTATGACCGACTCCTGCGGCATGCAGGGATTGCTGCTGGCTCACCGACCAGCTACTTTGTCTTATTCTACTCGTTGGGCGAGTCTGTCCGGAATCGCATAGAATGCGAGGAGCCTTTGGACGCTGTGCTGCTGAGCGTTCCAATGGACAAGGTCCTGTTGCACTACCAAGATCTCTACCAGAGACTCCGGCACAGATTGCTGGAGTGTTTCTCCGATGTAACAGAGGTCACTAACCTACGAAAGCTCTGGAACGACTTGAGGATGCGTCCGGGTCAGTCATTCTTGGCTTACTTGGCTCTGCTGGACAACTTGCGCCTGCAGCTGAACCTCTGTGGTGTGGTACTAAGCGAGTCCGAGATCTGGGACAAGCTGACTCACTATGCTCTTCCTCCGTTCGGCGATATGGCTCTCTTCTACAAGCTCTCGGGGACTACCCTATCGGTTGCGAGATCTCACATGATGTCGCGGGCCTCCCTTGCTGCCAGTGCCCCTCCAGGTCATGGCCGTCTACAAGCATCCTCGTTGGTTACATTTGACCCTTCCCAACCTGGAGATCTAGCTGGCGGCACCTCGCTCTTGGCTAGTGTACAATCGGGAGCGGAAACTTCTACCACTGTTGCGAAAGCCGCCTCTTCGACGCAGCCCTCGACACGGGTACCCAACCTGCGCTTGCTGGGCTTTGACGTGTGTCGGCGGTGCTTTGCTACCGGCCATCAAGCCCAGAGTTGCTCGAGTCCTAGCCCCGCTCTGGTAGCGGCTCGGTGCTTGTCCTGCGGTAAGGGCGGTCATACTGCTTCGGAATGTCGGCTGGCTAAAACTCGTTCCCTGACCTGTTCCAGATGCAACAGCGTCGGTCACTTGAGCTATGTGTGCCGAGGTCACGGGCTGTTGCACCGGCTTCTTCTGCCCCCGTCAGCACCGAGAAGAGCACGGCGTCGTCTGAGAACGCCACCTCCCCCGGCAGCCTCTCCTCTTTTAGCCGTACCCTCGGACACCGTTCTAGCCTCGCGTCGGACTCTCTTGCACCAGCTATGGTCAGCTGGTTGGCTACAGTCATCTGCCCTTCGGTGCTGCATGGCCTGGATTGCGACGATGTTGCCCATGAACCTCTCAAGGTCGACTTGGATCTGACTCCTATCGAGGGCCAAGGCCGTCCATTGCGGGTAGCTACTATGTTGGATACCGGCGCGGCCAGAAGTTTCATCTCGGTAGACTATCGTTCCCGGTTACCTCCAGCTTTCGTCGGGGAGTCTCGCAAAGTATGTGTCGCTGCCATACTTGCTAATGGGCAGGTTATGTCATGCACAGAAGCGGTGCAGATAGCTGTCCACACACCTCATGTGTCGCGGCCGACTTCCCTCTGGTGTCTTGTGGCCCCCCAGCTCTCTTGCCCTCTGATTCTAGGTATGGGTGCCTTAAGGTCTCTTAACCTTCTCGTATACCTTGGTCGGGATGGTATCCTCCTAAAGTCCGGAGTTGATTCTGCCAGAGTCCGCAGTGCGTCCCTCGGTACAGTCGCTAGGTGCCAAGACGCTGGTATACAAACGGAGTCAACTGACCTCGGCTGTATCACTAGTGGGCAGTCAGACGACGACATTGATGTGACCTCTTTGAACGCGGGTCTATTCCATGAGTTTTGGGGTGGCCGACCTTCTCCAGAAGAACTTCTAGACTTCCAGCTATGCTCGATTACTTCGCCGGTTGCAGACTCCCATCCTCCACCCGGGGTTAGTCCGCTGTTTCGTGGCCATACCCCGTCATCACACTGTTATAGGGATGGGGTGACAAGGATGGCCTTACGATACACGTACGGAGTCCCTTGGCTAAGCGACGTGAGAATGCCTGCGCTAACACCAAGCCTACTGCAGCGCCACCTTTCTAGAGATGTCGGTTTGGTCAAGCGGCTCAAATCTCAGGGACTGTATTCAGAGTATGCAGCTGTGTTCCAGAGGTATCTAGATACTGGTGCTATCTTTGCGGTCCCTCCATCGGATTACGGTATGATCCTTTCTGTAATCCCTCACTTCCCGGTAATAGCGCCTGGTTCTGTATCGACGAAAGTTCGGCCGGTTCTTAACGGAGTGGTCTACCGGGGCATCATTGGCAGCGGAAGGGAGGCCTTGCCAGCTCGCAAGAAATACTTCAACGGCACCTTACCTGCGCTCTTTACATTTAGGGGCTTCGCAGCGGTAGCGACCATTGACCTCACTATGGCGTTCTATCAACTAATGAATGATCCCAGTTCCCGGTATCTCTTCTGCGTGGTCTTCGACTCGGTGGTCTACAGGCTTCGGGGGCCTCCCATGGGAGCCCCACATGCTCCTTTTTGCCTTGAGGATGCCATGAAGCGCCTCCGGGTCCTTGCTAGCCATAAACTTCCTTCTTGGGTTCTACAGCTCATCGACTCTGCCATTGCGGGAAACAAGCCCCGACCCGTGCACTATGAGCCATACATGGATGATATAATCTGTGGTGCCGCTGCGATGGACTTGTTACTGTTGATGATCGACGCTCTGTTATTAGCGGCTGACCTCCGGGGGTTTTCTGCCCAACCTGCCAAGCGCCAAGTTGGAGCACCGGCCAAGGGTTCTGACCCTAAGAACGTCTTGGGATGTCAGTGGTTCTCTGATGACACCATTGGCCCTCAGGCACCTCCTGTGACCTCCCTGCCTACGTTCGTCCTCTTGCCTGACGAGTATGCAGTCGATACGGGTTTCGGCCGGAAGAGCGTCTGCTCCACTACTCGGAGGGATCTTCTGTCGGTCATCAACTCCCACTACGATCCTTTGGGTTTATATTCAAACTACATCCTTTCGATGCGATTATGTTTACGGGCCGAGCTGCAAATCAACCCTAATCTGGATTCCTTTATCACTGCTGATACCTATATGAAGATACGAGGAACCATGGAGGCCTTCCGCGAGGCTCCTCGTATTCCCCGCATCATCAGCCCTACTATCGGAGATGGCGAGCCCCTCTATGTCTTCTGTGATAGTTCAATGGTGGCTACCGGTGTACTCATAACTACTGCGAGCCTCATCCCGGTCCGTGCTCACGCTCGCCTAATTTCCTCCGATAGAGCATCCTGGACGATTGTCAAGAAGGAACTGCTATCAGTGTTGGAGGGAGTAGACCTGTTCTTCGAGACCTTGGACATTCTGCACAACTCATGGCTGCCTCATGGCGCCAAGCCTGCCCTCCATATCTTCTCCGACAACGAAGCTAATTGTTGGAGGATTCGCCGTGCGCTCCGTCGCTTGAGACGTGATGCCAGCGCAGTGGTGCGATCCAAGGCTTCTGCCCTTGACGACGTGGAGTTTGTCATTGGTGGTAATTCAACGAGCCGTTGTGTCCCCGACTGCAGTCCTAAGGAGTCTTCTGTCGATCCCAAATTGCCACCTTGGGAAAGAAAATCAGTGGACTCGATTGCGAAGAGGTTGTTCGACTATGGCCCGGGGGAGATATCCCACATCCGCGGTGACAGAAATCCCGCTGACATGTACAGCAGAGGGCTTCATGTAGATGCTCTTCACTTGAATGTTGACCTCAAGCGATATGTGCAATCTTTGCTCCGTACTAGCGGCAGCTCGCTAGCTACAGTTACTTCCGGTGACTCTCCTGTGGGTGTACTGGATGGTGCATGTGCCACCGATGCATCTACGGGAAGTGATGTTGATGAGCCTTCCCCTGATACTGCTCCGGTCCCGGTAGGGCCCGCAAATGCTGCACCTTCCCCAGTCGACACCCCTCCTGCTGCTGACAGTCATGTCGACCGTCAGTTGATAGAAGAGATGATTAGTCGTCAATCGGAAGACCCCCAGTTGAACAATGCCCTACTCACTGGTAAATTCGACACTGCCCGCGACAAGCGCATGTTCTGTGTCAAATCCATCAACGGCAGATCTGCGGTTTACCATGTACCTACCGGCGCAGTAGTTGTGCCTGGTCATCTTCGTATGAGGGTGTTGCAGGATCTCCATTGCCTCTTCGGCCACATATCGTACTCTAAGTTGTATCTGGCAGTAAGTGACCTATTGTTCATCGGCAAGTACAAGGATTTCCGTCGAGTCCAACTACGGTGTCGTACCTGCCTTGCCATGCGTGGCCACCGAGCCTTACACCATCAAGCTGGCAGGCGTAAGCTTCTGAAATCGGAGAAAGGCTGGGAAGTGGTGGGCCTCGACTTTGTGGGTCCCTACCGATCCTTTGCTCAGACTGGGGATCCCCGGTCGATGGTCTTAGTGTGCGTGGATTCCTTCAGCAACTTTGTTTGCTGTGAGCACTGTCCGGAAGGGGCTTCCGACGCCTCGACCTTGCAGGCCATCCAATCTATATGCTATCGAACTGGTTTCCCGCTGGCTTTCGTGGTCGACTCTGATTCCCGGTTCAAAAGCCGGTTGGTTACCAGTTGGCTGGAGGGCCACGGGGTCAAGCTCTTCCATGTGGTTCCACATTGTCACCGTTACTCTGGCTGGCAAGAAATTATCCACCGATCGCTGTGGCGTGTGGTTAGGGCCTTGATGTTGGACGACGCGTACTCCAAGCCTTGGTATCTTTACATGAATAGAGCTGCCTACATACTCAACAATATCACAAGGCCAACACCGGATTGTAGCACTTTTGCCTCGATGCTGCATTTCTGCCATGGAAGGCTATTGCCCCCAAAATTCTCAGATCGCCAACCTTCGGAGTCTGCCAAAGAGTTTGCCAGCGGCCACTCTGGCACCGTTATACCTACCAACGATCGGGAGTTTGATCAGTACTTGTATGAACATCAACTTCAAGCAGTAGACCTCTTCCAGCATGTCATTGCCGAGAACGTCTCTCGTGTTCTATCAGCTCGGTCCTCTCTGGCAGGTCAACCTGTCACGAGAAGGAACCTTGATCTACAGTTTAAGGTGGGTGACGTCGTCGTGAGGTTCAACCACAATTCTATGCACTATAAGCTCGAGCCTGCATGGCTTATTGATGACCTATACCGGATCGTGTCCATTGAATCAGGCCACGTAGCGGTGATTGAAGGGAGGACTAAGCGGCGTGAGTTCCTCGGTAATCTCAAGAAAGTACCATCGGCTTTCCTTGCGTTTGCTTTGTCGTGTATCTGATGCCTGTTGTATCTAATTCCGTTATATATTATACTTACTATCTGTATGTATCCTCGCCCCGGCGGAGTGTTAGCATACGCGTCGCTTCGCCTAGTGTGCGTCGCTTCGCGTATCTTCTTGTTATGGGACGATGTCCCAGAAGCGTCACTCGCCATGAAAACCTTCGGCCCGTCTTGTGTGTTGTGACCATTGCTCCATTTGTGTAGTACGCTAAGCTGTGTAGCTAGCACGCTAGAGTGTTGCAAGATCACTACTCATAAGTGAGTGTGGAATTGTCCGTAAGCATTTACGGTTCTATCGTATCTACTGTGCACTGGAAGTGTACTCTAAGATTCAAGGTCTGGTTTGCGTTATCTACAAGTTGGGCTTTAACTTCAACTTCTTGCACTTGCATTCATACCTTGACATCTAATTGGTAGCAGCTCCTTGTTGATTTACCATTGGTTTACGTTATATTACTATTATGCCTGGAGAATTTCAGTTTATTGAGAAGGATCATCCTTCAAGGATGTGGACATTGTTAGCAAGCAGGCTTATGATGAGTTTAAGGCTCTTGGTGTTTCCGAAGATGCGGCAGAAAAGGCTCGTTCTGCGGCTCGTGATAGTGCTTTGGCTCATAATGAGTTGGTACAGGCTGCTAAGGCTTGCGGATATGGCTCTGGTGGTGGTGGTACTTCTTCGTCTTCGGCCCGTACACCTGATGTTTCGGTCACTCCCAATTCGTCATCTACGGTTGTTCAGATCGTGCAATCACCTATGCCCGAACGGTATGACGGAATCGCTGATTTTGAGGATTGGTTAAGGCGTTATGAAGCTGACGCTAGAGGCTCTGGTTGGACTAATCTCCAGATAGCAGGGCGTCTTGGTAATTATCTTCGTGGTACCCATTTTGAGGTCTGGCATCAGAACTGTTCTAAGACAGATTTCGAGGCTGACCGGAAGGCTCTGTTGGATATGTTTGCCTTAGTTCGGCCCGATGAGATTCTGCATAAGTTCAACTCTCTGACTTGGGATAGGTCTTCCCGTGTGGTCTCTTTTTTGACTACACTCCGACGATATATGACTAATTACAATAAGACCTTACCCGAGGATCATAAGTTGTCTCAGACCCATATGGATAAGATGATTATGGATAGATTGATTGCCAACGCTCCAGATGGTGCCAAGTCTGTGCTTCGTCGACGTCAGCCTAAGACCATTCAGGGTGTATGTGAGATCTTTGAAGATTTTAAGGAGAAGTCTTCTTCTAAGGCTGCTGGTGCATTGGCAACTGGTATGCCCTATGGGAATATTCCGAGTGAAGACCATGTGACTAAGCTTATTGACACGTTTATGACCTCGCAGAATGCCATGGTTGGTTCTATTACTAAACTCTTGGATCAAGTCAAGGGTACTAATGGGAACGGCCAAGGTCGTATTTCTGGTCGCCGCCCTCAGAAGGGTAAGGGCAGGAAGCGTGATCCTAAGTGTTATTTATGTGGTGGTGATGGTCATTGGGCCGTGGCTTGCCCTCATAAGAAGCATGATCGTGGATGCTTTGTGTGTGGCTCAGGCGACCATTTGGCCCGATCATGTCCGCAATTTTCATCGTTCGTTGCCTCAATTGCCAACAAGAAGTCTAATGGTGTGTCGGGAAACTGTTAGGGCGCTCGCCTGACAGCCCGCGAGCGCCGCAAATTGTACTATATCCTTTTGGGAGGGATAATGGTTTATTCCTCTATGCTGATCTTCTCTTTGGTCATCGTCGAGTTGGTCCATTACGTTGCCTGGTAGATACTGGCTGTTGTTCTACTATGGTGGCAAGACGTGTAGTTCCTCGGGAAGTCGAGATTCGGCCCGTTACTGGACCCTCTCTTATGACGATTGATCGTTCTATTTGTACTTTTCTGGGTATGTCATCATTTTCCGTAGAGGCTTATGGTGGTGACAAAGCTAAGGAAGGAATGGCTCCGGACCGTAATGATCCCAAGTTTTCCTTCTGTGTGGATGCTTTGGTAGTGGACTCTTTGGCCTATGATCTGATATTGGGGCATGATTTTATGTCTCATTATGATTTGGATATTCAATATTCGGCCCGTCCTATCCGAATTGTTGGTACTTATTCTAAGGAGGAACCTTCGGCTCTCCCTTGGTTTGTGGAACACCCAGTTCAAGCGGCTAATTTGGAAGATAAGGCGAAGTCGTATTGTAAATCGCAACCGCCGGCATGTGTGGTAACTTCGACGGACAATGATTCTTATGATCTGTCTTGTCCCGAATATTTGTTGGCTGGTGCTGGTACGAAGGTTAATGTTGTCCCCTTGACTGACGATGAACTGCGGGAGAAAGGATGGCCTGTGCCCGGATCTCATCCAGTCCCAACTCCATCTTCGTCGTCAATTCCTCCAAGGTCTGAGCTGTTGGCGGCTGGAGTGTGGCCGCCTCCTGGTTATGAGGATACCGATGAGCTTCAAGACGATCCACTATCGGATCCGTTGAGGTTTGCGGTTCCTGATTTCCGTGATACTTCGGTACAACTTCCTGATTTTTGTGGCTCACCGTCGAAGGAGCAACGGCCCGTTGCTGAGTTATGTGAAG